TTTTTTTACTTAAAACTGCCATAACTTTTTCAAAAATGAACATATTAATATAATTTTTTTTTTTATAGATGCTTGATGTCTTTACCTATTATTTGGTATATTTAATTTGTAAATTTAATCTTTTTTCTGCCCACAGGGGGGGATTTAAAATGACAATTTTTTCACAAAAAATTAACTTTTTCAACTTAACTTTTGAAAATGTTCCATAAAGTCTGACACTTTTATATATATCTTAAATTAAAGCTAATGTAATATACTTTAATTTGAAAAAAAAAAATTTGACCTCTGGACTTTTCTTCACGGCGAAAATGGCTACCGAATGCTATTTTCGTGTGAAAATTCTCGATTTTATTATTCATATTATATTTAAATTTATAATGCTATAACTTATTGAAAAGTTTATGGATCCACACAATTTTTTTATGAGAAATAATATTTTTTAATAAACCCTTTTTCATTCGACATACTTTATCTTAATCGAGATATTAATAAGGAACCAGCAGATCAAGTAGCTTTTGGAATAAAACACCAATTTTTTTAAAATTAAACACTATCTAAAGATTTGCATCGAAGCGTTTATTTTTGATAGTGATTTTAATCACTGTCAGATATCATTATACTTGATCCAACTATACCACGTCACAACTGTGCCGCGACCCCCCTGTGCTGGGTTTTTTATAGCCAATTATTTCCGGCACAATGCTACCTAAACGAATGACTGTTCGAACATTGTTAGAACGAGAGATGGCGGTATTGCACGATGAAGAATTCATCGAAATGCTTGTTAAAGCTAAATGAAACGTGCTAAAAATTCGGGGTATCCTTCAAAAGGATTGTTAAAAGTTCAGCTACACGATAGATGTGTCAAATGTGAAAAAAAAGGACCGGCGTTTCAGATAATTTGTATCTTCATTTTCTGGTAAACTTTTTAAGAATTGCCGTCATTTCTAGAGGCTGTATCAAACTTTTTGCAATTAATTAAGTTTTCCAGCTATTATTTTTTATCCATTAACGTCACCTAACCAATTAAGTATTATCAGTTGTAGGGATTTGAATAGTAATTTCAGAGTATTTCGGGGTCATCGATTCCAAAAATAACCTCAGAAATGCCCATCAACTCATGTTTTTTAGATAACACGAATTTTTGATTTTTAAAAGGTGTAAGCTTTTAAAGTTATCTAGATTTAATAATAATTACCAAAACTAACAGCTATTATTAATAATATAATGTTTTTAAGAAAACTTCAGTAGGAAACACATTCTTTTAACACTAACTATCAGGATAATAGATTGAGTATAGATTTAGTATTATAGGTATTTAACTTTTTCTATGAAAAGTTGATAACTCTATCCTATATTTAATTTGAAAATATATTTTACTTTTATTCTTATCTCATTTATATAGACTAAAATTTAATACCGTAAAATCAACATAAAAATATTCAAATTTTTATCAACTTTGATATAATATAAAAATTTAACTATACAACATTAATAAGATATTTTACCGTTTTTGATTTTTTTCGTGAATTAAAAAATTTCATTTTTCAATCAATTAAAAAAATATGATATTTTTATAGTACTAAAATAGTATAAGTCTACTTTACCGGCACCCTTTTTTTTTCAAAACGTTCGTTTTTTTATGTAGATTAATAATATGTAATAATTTTCGAGCGGAAGCATGTGGTTCAAAAGTTATAGCGTTTCAATGTTATCGATTAGTTTGTTATCGCATAATGAAAGTGGTCGGTTAGTATCGACGGGTGGTCGTCTACCTGAACTCATATCATTACAATAATCTATACAGAGTGATTTTTTTATCATAACCCACTCAATTACTTGCAGAATAATAATAATTTAAACTTTTTTTTTTTTTATTAT